ATTGTGTCAATTCTAATTGAGGACAGTTCTTCATCTGACACGAATCTTCAGAATTCTGACACATTTAGGTATGAAACAAAATTGCTTCAATCAATTTGTAATTCATTATAGTGTGAAATATTTTTGTTGAGATATAGGTACAGGGTATCTCAAAATTGCTGGGACACAGAGCTACCACAGGTAATACGGGTCAAAATAAGTTGATTGGACCCAACTTCTTTTTATTGAAAAATATACCGTTTGTCCGTGAGACGAGTTCAGAGTTTTCATAAATAAACATATTTTCAAAAGATCTACAATATCTTTCGTGATTCTTCCATTACTGAAAGAAGAGTTATACTCTAAAATTTGTTTCACTCATTTTTGAACAGCGATCAGCGAACGAAAATGTGTTTATTTATGAAAACTTCAAACTCACCTCACGGACAAACGGTACATTCTTTTATATAAACAAGTTAGGTCCAATCAAGTCATTTTGACCTGTATTACCTGTGGTAGCTCTGTGTCCCATCGATTTTGGTGTTGTGTCGAAACATCGAGACAATTGTTTCTGATTTTGACTCCTCAATAAACTTTTCTGAGCATTTGAATTTTATTTTTATACACTTCATGATAGAAACAATCATGCACTTTACACTGGAAGAGCAACATGACTCGTGCTTATTGAAAGCACAGTGAAGAGAGACAGTGCTGAATAATATTGCTCAACGTTTACTACGAATGGCTGTGGAACTCTGGAGTCTGGAGTGTGGAAGTGGTAGGAGCACGTACACATGCAAAGAAGATGCGCAAGGTTGCCAAGCATCACGATATGAAATAACTAAGTATATGTACCTATAGTTTCATGATAATTTAATGAACATAGGCAGTAGGTACTTAAATGAAATTGTCCTCATAAGTTCTTGGAAATACTTCCGTTGGCAAAGAATACCGAAGCTTCGTCGTTCCATAGACAAACGTGTTTTGGAAAGGAGTTGCTTGACATAATTCTAGATTGACGACAAAACGATGATGTGCTGACTCAGCCTGTCGAGTATGTTTGACGAATGGTGGACCAAAATGCATGTAAGCTCTGCAGTAATGATACAGAATGTTGCAGTCGTTAATTAGAGAGCATCATATTGATATTAAATTCATCAACTTCTAATCATTATCTTACACCACGATGTTCAAAGTGTTATATATGAAATAGGTTTAAGTAATATAAAATAGACGAGGTGGCAACAGTGTATGGCGACAAATTTGTTCCGATGTTTTTCTGATATTAGTGGTGTTGATTTACATCTATTCCAGTGTCATTTATTCCAGTGATATCAGAAAATACACTGGTTTGGTTATCAATCTCATTACTAGGTGAATATCTTGAAGAGGAATTATTATTGTGTGAATATGGATACTTCATAAAATTGATAGTCACATGAAAAATATGATAGTTGATCACTTTCATGATATGAATTTTGAAAAATTACACCTACTAATGATAATTTTTCAGAATATATCAACTTTGTGATTCATGAATAGAATAATTTGATGTTTACAGTTTGAATTCAAATAATGAGTATGAAAAGTGTGATTCCGAATTCAGATTTGCCATAATGTATCACGATTTACACCGTCGAACCCCACGATATCAAATTCCCAATACTTATGATAGGATAGTACAATTTTGGTGTTGAATAGGGTTAGTGTTAATTCTAACAGTCTGGAATTGAAAAAGACACCAACAGTTTTCTTAGAGTGTAAGGTCATTCGATAGCACTTGATGGTATATCGAAGAAAATGACGTTTGATCGAGGGGTATTATAACTGCTTCATGAAATCCTGGCTTGATCTAATTAATAAAGAATATATATAAGAATTTGTGGGGTGATTTCTGAGGTGTTTTTTTATATAAAAACGTTCCTATAAATAGGTATATACAGGGTGTTTCTCAAGTAAGTGTAGAAAATTCAGGAGCATGTTGCTGACGTCAAAAGTTCTTCTTTTCTGAAATACAAAGTGTTGAAGTTGAATTCTTATTTTTGTTTTTTGTTAGTAAATTTCATAATAATTGTGGTATTCGAATAAAGTTTGGTATCTAGGGGTATTTTTCAATGACACTATCGAATTTTATGTTGGTTTGTCTCTTTCGTGGGAGTGGCGCCACCTACACATCTTTTAAGTCATTTGAGAAGTCATAACTTTTTTGTGCGTACCAGTATCACGTTTTATAGTAGAAAAATATATTTCTGGTAGATGTCACTGCGAGCAACTGTTATCGAGTTAATGGGATTTGTTAGTCGCCTCTAAGTAGTAAATATTAGAAAAGATATACGTCAGTGCATTTTTCTTCTTTCATTCAATATTCTCCTACATTCAACATTGGAATATGGGCAAAAGGTGATTCTCACTTCTTTGTACCTACTCTTTTGGACTCTTCCAATTTAAAAAAATAACAATCAAATGAAAAATCATCGACTGCCGAATCACCAGACATTCAGAAACCTTTTTCAGCGTCTTATGGGAAGTCTTGATCCTTTAAAGAAGCTCCAGTGATAGGCAGACCGTTGACTACAGACTCCAGGATTTGAAGAAGCTGTTCTTCAGGCAATCGAGGAAGTTCTACAGACAAGCACGAGAAAAATTGCGCAAAATCTCACCAGCTCCATGGAAATAATTCAAATGCATCGATTATTTCAAATTCCAATAACTCGAAAACAGTTGCTTGCATCAGCGACCTCTACCAGGAATATATTTGTCAAACAAAAGTGTTCTAGAAATATATTTTTTAAATATAAAACGTGATACAGGTTCAAAAGACATGTAGGTGGCGCCACCCCCACGAACTAGGAGTAACTTATTTACATAAAAAACCTCCAAGCTTCCATATTATGTAATCAGATTTGGAAGAAAAAATACCATAGATACAAAAATGGGATTGTTTTACCCTTATAACCCCCCGGTATGAAATTCTGAGCTGAAATTCTGATTCAGCATTAAAAGTTTGAGCGATGTACCAAATTGCATGATTATTTCAATTATCGAAGATCAGATTCGTTTTTTCGTAACACAGCACAGTTCAAAATAGATATCCGACAAGCGAAATGAAAACAATACTCTCTGGATGAGTGAATTCTAAGACGTACCCTATTATCATCGTAAATGTTTTCATAAAGTTCAACGACAACATCTTGCAATACACATTCCCCCAAGCATGATGGTTTCACAGGAAAACGCTGTCAATTAGCGGAGTTGCCAAATATTTCAGGACCCCAAAAATACTGCCTTCATTGTTTATCCGATTACAAAAATATAAAGAACATGTTTCATAAATATTATGAACCGATCAGGTGAGGCCAATGTCAGTTATCTTCAACATCCACCAAGGTAATAAATTAATAATTTCGCGAATGACATTGTTTATCAGAACTTTCGGGCTGTAGGCGAGAAGTTTTGAATAAATGTCATGAGCGAAATTAAAGGAAAAAGCTGGAGTAGATCGTAGATCAATAGACAGATATATGATGTATTCGTATGAATATCCCATGATTGAGACAATAAACGAGCGCCTCGCGAGTGTTCCCTACACTGCATCCATCATTCTAGCTCCCAACATGATTGACGTTTTGAATGTCAAACATTCTATCGCTTAAAACCGAGGCTGGTTGGTCATGGTCAATTCGGCTCCTGTAGTGGTAGAGCAAGTCCGATAAAATGTATTTAACAGAAAAATATCGTTGTAATTCAGAAGAATCCGTAAAAATGGTCGACTCTGATTAGTTATCGAGAACAAGAGTGGAATAGTCAACACACTTCATTTTAGGCTATTTATAAAAACGTGTTTCTTTAGTTTTTTAAACTACCAGTCATTATCTATTTTTCAGTTGGGCTTACAATGAAAGCGTGTTCTTTTATTTTTTATATTTTTTGTAAGTACCCAATTCAGACCGACCCCGAAAACCCCAAGATACAAATTTTGAATAGAATCGGATCATAATTACAAAACTCGTTCGCCATATTGGGTCCGCCATCTTGAATTTCCTGATGTTGACGAAAGAATCATAATTTCCGACACCAAAAACCTCGAGATACCAATTTTGAATAGAATCGCATCATAATAATTACAAAACTCGCCGCCCTATTGGATCCGTCATCCTGAATTCCTATTTTTTCACGAAAGAATCATAATCTCCGACCTCGAAAACCCCCAGATACCAATTTTGAATAGAATCGGATCATAAATTACCAAACTTGTTCGCCATTGGAACCGCCATGTTGAATATTCCAATTTTGGAGGAAGAATCATAATCTCCGACCCCGAAAACCACCAGATACCAATTTTGAACAGAATCGGATCATAATCACAAAAGACGTCCGCCATTTTGGGGTCGCCATGATGCATTGTCACCAGAATTATGTTCACCTGCCAAATTTCATATCAATCGGACGTTTTCGAGTGGGTCAAAATCACGTTCGAAGATTCCGTTACAAACAAACAACAAACATACATACCGAGCTAATAACCATGTACTCTTCTGCTTAGTTGGATTCAACAGTTCTTCTTGAATTCAACAATTACTTATGAACAAATGCTCTTAATTTTCGAGATTGTTGTGTAATTTTTCTATTAAGAACTCCATCATTTTGTGTTCTGCCAATGTCAGTGTCAATGTTGATCACCAATCTCATTCAAATTTCTTGGAACGTTACATAGAAACAAAATTTTCTTGCCTAGACAGAGAAAGTACTTTCCTGCCTGTTAGGTGTCAGAGAAAAGCAACTTTCCCTGCCACTTATAGAGAAAAAAATTTACCATACTGAATTGAATTTTTTCAAACATTTAAAATCTGTTTCGGTATAAGAATAGGACCTGAAGATTTCCCCCCCAGCTCGACAACGCCGCTAAACGCCACCCTCAACAATAACACAACTTTACTGTCACCCCCCGCACCGTGCGACCGTCTTCGCTCTCATTCCCATCATCCCCAAGGCTCATTCTAATCATTCTCGTGTCTTTTCAGCGCGAAATCCGGCAACATGGCACGAAGAAGCACCATCCCCGGAATGGAGGACGACGACGGCGATTACGCGACCCTGAGGGAGCTACCCCTGCCTCCCATTGCCACCCCCTCTTCCTCCCAGAGGTTGAGCAACGGCGATGACACGGCCAGCGAGGAGGGAAAGGTAGGAAACAGGTTTGAAACAGTGAAAAATTCGAGAGCGTATAATTTGAAAGCGGAAAATTCTAAAGCAAAAAAATCGAATCCCAAAATCTGAAAACCTGAAAATTTTATAACGAAACTTTTATTAGATTCGGAGGCGGAATATTTGAAAGCGGAAAATTTGTTGAACAAACATTTTTTGAGCAAGAATTTAGAAAAGATAAAACTCACAATTCAATAACGAATATTTCGAAAACGAATAATCAAAGCAATAGATGTTTGAAAGCTGAAAATTTGATAATGAATCATTAATTATTCAGAAGCATGAAAGAAAAGGAAACATTTTGTAATGAAAATTTTGTAAGTGGAGGATTTGGAAATGAAAGATTTGTAAGCAGAGAATGTCAATATTTCAAAACAATTTGAAACCGGAAAATTTTCCAGTTAACGATTTGGAAGCGACAAAAAGCGAAATTTTCGCCAATGAATAGTTTGTAAACAGAGAATTTGAAGTGGAAATTTGAAAGTGCAAAATTTGACAGTGAAAAATTTGAAAGAGAAAAATTCGAATGCGAGAATTTTGAAAGTGAACAAGTGATAAGCAAAAAAATGTAAACTAAAACTATGAAATATTCGTCAATGGTAGATTTGGAAGTTGAAAATTTCATTTTGTGAGTGAGAAATCTGAGAAGAAACAAATTCAAAAACGATAATTTGCCAGTGAAAAATTTGAAATCAAAAAGTTTGAGGGCAACAGAGTTCCAAGAAAACAATAAAGACCAAATTTGGAATCGGAAAATTTTCCAGTGGACGATTTCACGATTTATAAGCGAAAAAAGCGAAAATTGAAAAATTTCAAAGCAAACATTTTTATAGTGGAAATTTGAGAGCGCAAAATTTGATAGTGAAGGTGATAGTTGAAAGACAGAAAAATTTTGAAGCGAAAATTCTGAAAGCAAACTAGTGACCAGATTCTAAAGTAGAGAAGTTAAAACTCTTGAATTTGAGAATAAAAGAAAAATAAAGGCCGATTGGAAACCATAGAAATTCAAAAGCAAAAACTTGATCAGTGGAAAATTCAAATAAAAACATTAGATGACAACAAATTTTGAAGCGAATCATAGAAAGTGAACATTTTTCAGTACAAAAAAGTAAAAATTCAAAGTGAATTTGTGAAAAAATATTTGGAAGCGGAATATTTGGGAAGAATAAATCTGAAAGCAATAAAGCAATCTTGAAAGGGAATCATAGAATTTTGATACCGAGAAAATTCCCCGTGACCGAAAAATTCTAAAGCAATAAATCTAAATAGGATGATTTTGAGGGAAGAATACAGAAGCAAAGACTATAAAGAACAGAAAAAAATGATGACACATGAGTAGAAAACGGAAAAAATTGCCAGTGAAAAACGTTGAAGCGAAAATTTAGAAAGTTGAACATTTGAAAACGAAAACTGATCACTGTTGTTTCAATAATTTGTTCAAGTTCATACATTTCCAACCCATTTTTCCTAATCTGCTGATTTTGTTACAGATTATCTCATGAAATAAATGTCCTTGACAATTTTTTGTTGGAATTTTGTCACCTTGTTCACTAAATCAGCAATTCATTCGTCATAGGTTTTTCTGAATTTCTTATCTATCAGTTAACGGCCGAGTAATGAAACTTGCAACAGCTACGAGATAGCAATCAGTAAATATAACTACCTATTCAATATTTACGTTGTAAAACACGAAAACATGAGTTCAGAAGCCACTGAATAGAGGTGACTAACTGATGAATCTGGGGAATACATCAGTCATCCGGATAATCTTAAATGGCTGTTACAATTCCCATTAAATAGAGTAGACGTCGGTAAATATTTACAGAAATCTGCACGTATGGCTGCGATATGATTCAAGGGAAAAACTGGTGCCGTCATCACCAAATTGAAAATTATTTTTTAACGAATTGTATTCAATCTACTGGGTCCACATGGGTACCAACAAGGTACTTGTTGACCCTGATTTGTCTCTTCAGGTTTCATGTTTTCATGAATGAAGTACTTAGCCTTTTCTCCACCCTCTTGGCTGGTTGTTGAATAATTTTCTCAGATGGACTCTATCCATAGAAAATGTCCATATGATCATCCGCTTCTAGCATTGAGGTATATTTACAAAGAATACACAATCTATTGTAACTGTTAGCATCTAGCAACTAGATGCGCTACTTCTCAGTGGAATGTGCTTAGATCAGAGCCTATGACAGAGGTGTGTGAAGACTGGTTCACATAGTATTCGGCTGGCAGCCGAGTTGTGAGCAAGTGTAACCCTTGTCCATGTCATTTGTGCTCGTGTTTATCGAATTATGACCATAATATAACAGTAACCATACCCACCCGGGTGTTGTCTAAATATGGAACTATAACCGTATTTCATGTGATCGTCTAGTATTTATCATGTTCGAGAAGTATCGAGATTCAATTCGACACCTCTCAAACATGTTCCAACGTTGTGTATTTTTTTATATAAGTTCGTGGATACAGAGTTGAGTGAATTAGCAAAAAGCGATCAAATCCTCTTCACTGCGCAACCAAGACTCAGTAGCAAAATTTTATGTTAATTGGTATTATCTGATCAATTGCTGAGATGGACTATGCTTGCATTCCACTCGGCTTGCCTTCTTTTTTTTATAACAAAAGGATCGTCACCTGCCGGGATTAAATAAGAGTATTCAGAATATCAACAAACGAAGGCTATTATAGTACACAGTCTTTATTACGAGCAAATTCTCAAACGTTTTCGGCTACAAGTTGCAGTATGAGGCTTCTAGTGAATATACGATGTCCAAAGATCAGGTAGCTATTTTCACATAATTCACATAATAAGTCTGTCCCTGTGGTTCTACTTCAGATTTGAAGTGAATTTATGAACGTCTGACAGCGTCAAACGTTTGTGAATTGGTTTTTTCCACAAAACATACTCTTCCTGCCTTTGTAGCTGGAATATATTGATACAAATCGAAGCTCAGATTACTTACCAAGCTGTAAAAAAGCACAACACTGCAGAATCGAGTATCCAACAAGACAAGGTCTCACCATACCTGGGATACAATCCAAAGTTGGAGTGATAGAATTTATGATCTCTTGATGATTTGTTACTTATTCCTCTGATAAAAAATGAAACTACTCATAGACATTGAAAACTCATCAATGGAGTCATGAATTGAAGCACTAACTATGATCCTCAAATTTCATAAATGAGAAAATGACCTCCCAGATGAATCAATACTCTTGATCATGATGAAATATTCTACCAAGCTAACTGGCTTGGGTTGTTACACTATATAGGATTGAACGCCCAACTAATACACTTTTTGCTGATTTGGATATCCCCCAGCATTCTAGAATAACTAATTAATATACATCCTTTGCTTGTATCGACAGATGATTCACCCTATCAAATTCCGATCAATTAAAATAGAATGATGGTCTTGTACTAATACATTGTCAATGTCGAATATTTCAGTAAAATACTGTATAATCTACTCCAGTAAGTAACCCTCATCAAATTAGTTGAAATTAGAGTCACATCTAACTAATACCATCCAGTGACTCTAGTTAAAATTAGCAAGAAATAGGCTTCAGATCATTCAGTTCTTATAGCTGGTATTACGATAAAGCAATTGGCCCGCTATTTCATTAATGCTGTCTTGGCTTGCTTCAGCTTCTGGCTTGTGTTCATGACGAACATATCACTTACGCTAGCACCAACCAGGACTTCGAACCGCCAATAGCTTACGAAGAGAGAAGTCCGCTGCTTGAGGAACCTTCTGTTATTGTCCACAGCAACTACGAAAATCAAGTAAGTATAGATACACGCTCGCCAATGCAACTGCTTCAAATTCAATTATCTGTCACCACTAGGAATGCTTCGCCTCAAGATCCAAAAAAAACATAGGTCAACTCGAGTAAATTGATTTTTAAACCATCGAAATAAAAACTATCGGATTCGCGTAGAAGATGGAAAAAAAATCGCGAGAAAATGATCGGAGGACAGTCACCAACTGACTGCTAAAGTTGAATAGGATCCAGCTTAGGTTCCTGCCAATGGAAATATCCCCAATAACTTATAACCTCCAAAAGTTTTTAAAAAATCCAATACCAACCTCCTCTCCCTATCCTCCCTAGGTAAGCACAATGTTCTTCGAACATTATATGAAACGTGTTTGAGAAACGGATTGTTATTAGCAATAATGTTTACAGTACCTTACAAAACCGAAGCTATTCTCATGGAGAACTTGTCAACCTGATGAGTAAGTAGCCTCACTACTAATTTCATATTTTGAATTTATTAACGGCTATTCTTTTCGAAAGCTAGAAGCTGATTACTTACTTACAGGTATGCGCTGATGATGGCTTTATAGCTGAAAGCGCTCAACTACGATATTTTGAATAAACTATTCTGCATACGAAATACAAGATTTGTACAATTATTTTTATTATAGGAATATCCTTTCGCGCACTCCAAGAGATAAAAAAAACTCCTAACAGGTGCCCCTGCTCTCTAAAAGAAAGCACTTGCACCAAATGGGTATCTTAGAAGATTCACGTTCTGGTATATGAGATCCAGGAGAGGGCTATTCGCTCGATAGTTCGTGTGCAGCGTAGCGTACCTTGGATTCATGAAAGAAATAAAATAAAATGTCAAATACCCCCACTGGTCTTAGTTTTAGCATAGATCATAGGGACCACAGAACTATAACTCCTTGATTGTTGAGTTAGTGACCAATACCCTCTCATCCCCCCAAGAATAATTTTCATATTCCTCCAAGTTTGAACATTTGAATTTGCGGTGCAGATTTATTCAAAAGGACTGTTGTTCAGGATGAGTAAGTAGTACATATCATGGCTGAGCTTCCACTTGACCCACATCCTTCAAAAACCAAACAGCTCACTTCTTGAAGTAGAGTCTTCTCACTGAAACTCAAACTAAAATGCAAGAATTCAAATGACCATGATTCGGTATAAATGCAATTCCCGACCAATAAACACTATGAAGATCATTTCAAATTACATAACATGTACCTATCCTTCCTTGTATCAAAATATTATTCAATAATTGCTGTGCTGAACAAACCTAATATATTCATGAATACTCATAAAAGAATCATCATTGAAATAACAAATCCTAGTCCATGAAATTACTTGAAGGAAATATTATTTCACTCAAAAGATAGGTAGGTCGTATACATACATTCTGGTAATAGACTAACATCATTTATACATGTTTTTTCATTGATTCTTCGGGACACAGGGTTCGAATCCCGCCACCATTAATTTTTTTTTTATATTTCTTCGAGTGATTTTTGGAAAACAACCGTGAATGTTGATAAAGTTGGAAGAGTGTTCACTGATGTTTCTCATAAACACCTATTGGTGTAAATCCGTCATTCTATGAATAGCCACATCAGAATTAAAAAGTTCTATAGTTTTTTGAGAATCGCAGAAATTGTTGATTGTTAATATATTGAAGAAAAATGATACAGAGATTCGAATTGACCGTCATTCATATCTATAATCGTCCCAAAAATGCGAATTCTTGCAACTGAAACACCCCCATCTCTTCACCAGCTGCAAGCCGGCTCCGCTCCCAAATGCCTGCGTCGCACCGACTCCGGCATCATTCCACACGAGGACCGCCCCGGCAGATCCGACTCAGTAAGCACCGAGAGCTCCCACAGCCCCCCAGACGGCCTGGGGAGCAACCATAGCGAGACGTCCAGCGGCATCCACTCCAACGATAGCGACCACCCGCTCCCAGCGCCCAAGAACCACATGCTGCCCAAGGAGACGGAATGGCGGTCGTCGCAGACCGACAACTCCCAGAACCTGATCAACCTCACGGAGAATCCGGCGGACTCGGTGGTGATCAGGAGGAAGTCGATCAGGCCGAGCAAGGCGGAGATCGTGGCTCCGGCCATTCTGGAAGAAGATCCTTACGGTAGGATACTTTCTCAAAGACCTTCAACGGGTTTCATACACTTCAAAAGACATTTGGAGACTCTCGAAGAGTTCCAGAGACATCCAATGGTTTTACGGTAGGAATAGATAGGATCTCCAATCACTCGCAAAGACTTCCAGAGTCATCTGAAAGGATTCCAAAGTCATCCAATGTGTTTCAAAGACTTCAATTGATTTACAGAGGCGTCCAACTACTTTCTCGAAGACCTCCAATGGCTTTCATCGACTCTCAAAGACATCTGGAGACTCTTGAAGTGTTCCAATGATATCCAATGGACTTCAAAGACTTCCAAATATCTCTCACAACTTTCAGATAATCCCAAAATCATCCAATTACTTTCGGAGACCCTAACGACTCACAAAGGTATCCAAATACTTTCAAAAACCTCCGAAGTCTTTCAAAGATTTTCTTAGATATTCAATGTCTTCATAGGACTCTTGAAGATATTAACGCTCCCAATGACTTACAAAGGCATCCAAATACTTTCAAATATATCCAAAGTATTTCAAAGACTTCTTCAATCATTTGATGATTTCGAAAGACATTCAATGTCTTTCGAACACCCCCAATGACTCACAAAGGAATCAAAATCCTTTCAAATACATCCAAAGTATTTCGAAGGCTTCTTTAGTCATTTAATCACTTCGAAAGACTCTCAAAGACATTCAATGTCTTTCAAACACCCCCAATGACTTACAAAGGCATCCAAATTCTTTCAAAGACTTCCAAAGAGTTTCAAAGACTTTCTTAGACATTCAACGACTTCAAAAGACACCCAAAGATATTCGATGTCACGATGTCTTTCAAACACAAACACCAATTCCTACCTTATTTCCCTTGGTTCTCACGATGTTCTCTGAGCATTACAGGATATACCTTTTCGTGGGAACCGGAACATAAAAAATAACTTACAAGGGCATCCAAATACTTTCAAAGACCTCCAAAGCCTTTCGAAGACTTCCTTACTCATTCAATGACTTCAAAAGACTTCCAAAGATATTCAATGTCTCACCACCTCAGATGAATTACAAAGACATCTAAATACTTTCAAAGACCTCCGAAGTCTTTCAAAGACTTTCAGAAACATTCAATGTCTCCCGAAGACTTCCAAAAATATCCAATGACATTGAATTTCATTTGAAGACATCAATTGTTTTCAAAGTGTTCAATCAACTTTCAAACACATAATAATGTATACCAGACTTCCAGAATTATGTACCTCACGTTTCAAAATTCTCAATGTTGTCCAGATTTCGCTTTCAAGTAGAAGAGAACCTGAAGAACATCAGGAGTACAAGCATACCTTTGTACCTTTCAGGAAGGGCGACCAACATGCGAATGACCTCCTTCACGGACAAAACCGATCAGTCGCAGTCCTGCTCCGCCACATTGCCCCACTACCCCACACAGCCGGTCCAAAACGTCTACCCAAACTGCTCCACCATGCCGCTGCCCCACAGCTCGACCAACAGCAGTGCTGCCCCCTCCATGGCGAACGGCAACAGCTGCAACGTCTACCCGAGGCAGCACACGACCATTCCCACGCACCACAACGGGGTGAAGCTCAACCTCAACCCCTTTCCGAAGAGGCTGCTGCCCAGAGGAACTGGGGAGCCGGCTATGAAGTACGAACCGATTTACACGGCGATTAATAGGAAAAGTGGGGAGTTATATCATTACACGTCGTAAGTAGGGTGGGGTTGAAGGGAAGGGAATGCTAGATGGGGTGAAGCTCAACCTCAATCCCTATCCGAAGAGGCTGCTGCCCAGAGGCTCAGAAGAGCCGGCTATGAAGTACGAACCGATTTACACGGCGATTAATAGGAAATCTGTGAAATTTTATCATTACACGTCGTAAGTAGGGTGGTGTTGAGGGGGAGGGAAACCTGACGGGGGGATTGGGGTTGGCAGGAAATTGGGTATCGGTGACTTTAAATTGGATCATCGGGGATTGAATGTAGGTTTGTCAGCTGGATGAAGCTAATGATGTGAATCGATTCATTCGGTCAGATCAGTACGGATTTTCTCCAAAAAATAATTCTTGAATTCACTAGCAGATATTCCATTACATAGGCTGAGTGACAAAAAACGCCCCAAGTTATAGCGCCGTTATTGATTATCAGATTTTGAACATCAGGAAACCCAATTAAATGATTCCTCAGATACTACAAGGTGAAACTAACAATTTCTTTTTTCCATTTCGACTCTAACGACAGCGATTGCGAATTTTTTTTGTGCAAATAGCACTACATTTTTTTTCTGAAAATAATGATTGTCAAAAAGTTGACTTTTGCGCAAAATTAATTTGAAAAAATTCATGACTCCATCGACAAGAAATGGATCTTTTCATCAAAATTTCTATCGAGTCATCGAAGGTTGAGTCCGTTCTTTATAAAAAAGAAATTTGAAAAAGAGATTGTTAGTGTCACCTTGTTGTTTCTGACAAATAATTAAATTTTTTGTTTTTCAAAATCGGATAGTTGATAGCGGCGCTATGGCTTGGGGCGTTTTTTGACAGTCAGTCTGTATTTTTTGTTCAGTAACGCAGTAGATATTTTTGAATTTTTCAACGATAGATACAGTGTGTGAACGATTTAAGTGCTCTTCAAACAAAACAGCAATGATTCGGTTCAGGAATGTTAGTTCTTGAGTTTCCTTGACGATTCTTGTATAGAATATTGAACTAGTGGTGTTGAATTGGTGAAAGTGATATACTCTCACCAAAAAAAGCTCTTTTTTGATTGATTGCACTTTTCATCATACCTATATTCCATACGTAAAAACTCGCTACTCTATACATTTATTAGTCTTTGGATCACCATTAATATCCAGATTTAACAACCGATTTCTGAATTCTCCATTTCAGTTGGATGAACATCAGAAGTATGCGCTAGCACATTTTTGAAAAAGAATGATCTCAAATTCCATGTTTGTACATATCAAAAACGGTTAAAAATTCTATCAGCGACTTTGCTTCGGAAAATGATGATGCCATCTCTTGCTTCAGCTTCAGCTTTCATCTAGGATAATGCCATTTTTGCCAGGAATCTGGTAAGACCTTTTTTTTCTCTCGGATTTATTCTGAATACTTCTGAAAAAAAGTGAGTTTCTGAAACTGAGATTGTTATAACTTTTTTGCTGATGAATAATTTACATGAAATTTTGATATTATCCTAATTGGAGGTTCTTGAATCCATTGGTGAAGTCAGAATTTCACAAAAAAATCACTTAGCAATCTTTGATATTCGACATTCCTGAATCGTTTCTGAAATTTGAATATTATAAGGATACTTCGATCTTTAATGGGATATTGAACATGATTCATTCTTCCAAAAATATCTGAATTCAATCAATGTTGGTGTCGTTGACAATGACATTGAACGTGATCAGAATGTTTGTGTTGCTTTTTTGGCAGTTAAAAAAAATAATATGATCTTAAACTGGAGTTACATAATATGCATACAATATATATGTAGTTTCAATGTCACCGTTCAATCTCGAAAACTCATGATCTTGATAGTAGCACTCTCGAAAATTAAACGATTCAATACATCAAATAATGTGTTCTACAGTTAATCATGTTCTTTCATATTACAATCAATCTAATGAATATTTTGCAAAAGCTACTCCTGTAGTTGAATTCACGAAACATATTTTGGAGACAACCTATAGACATCTATATTCTACCATAAATTGTTAGTACCCGATTTCAACTCTCTCGATCCAGCATTCAACTTTTTGTACGTCATTTATATTTTAAAAAATCATAATCCCATTTGCACTAGTCAAAAATCATTATACTATTTCGTACGTTTTTAGACGAATTCGTATATTTTTGGTAAACTGTTTTGTAACGAATATCATGATTAAAATAATCACATCAGGTATGGTGGCACCACAAAATCACATTCTATCTAACCCAAAAAAATACTTGAAGAAGTTGTTTCCACAGGGTATTTCAAGTATTACACAATTTTGACACCAGTTGAATCACACTATACGGTGTCTCTAAAATGTCAAAGGTTTGAAATATTACTACTATGAAACTCTGTCTTTTCTTAATTAGGTATTGTTTTGTACAGACCCTATATATAGAGTGTATTTAATTTATATTTTCGAATATTTGTTTCCCATTGTTTTCACATTATTACAAATGGTTACATATATATGCTCGTTTCAGAGGGACTTACGTACGATGTAAACTGGAATACCCTGCAATTCAATTCAGGACATGTAAGGATTACGTCAAATCCTGCATTGTCTAAGTAGATAATTAAGATAATTGACTGTTAAGTTGGGGTTTCTGAAGTGAAAATATTGAGTTACAACTTGAAACATAACGTTAACAATATTATCCATAAAATCTAACAGGAACTGAAAGGTTTCCAGTAAATACAATAATTGCAGTAACGAGATGATAATAATATAATAATGTTCTCGACATAACCAGACAAATAAGTTCAAATTTACATGAACTTCGTTTGTTCTCACTGCCAAATTGTCGAAAACCGTCCTGCTCAATAGGGTTCAGTTCCAAAAAGTTCTTGGCTATATACTTGGGTGCCACCAGAATCGACCATTCGAAAAATATCCATCATCATATCAGCATTTTTACGGTTCTAGTTCATATACGATCATGATTATATATTTCATATGATAATAATAATTATTGTAAACAAGTAAACCAAACAATAACAATAAACCGTAGACGTATGTATAGCATGTTCCGTAAAGACCACGTCTAACTGAAGAAGAATGTAGATCGAAGGGACTTTGTTTTCTGTTTTATAAATCGCATATGATGTTCGTGAATACGGTGGTTGAACGATTCACCTGCCTGACCAATATATTCCTTGGGACTAGGTCCACAGTTCAATTTTTATGAAATGTTTCAAGTGTAAAACCTGTGAAATTGTACTAACAGCACGGAAATGTCTACTGAAAGAGGAAAAAATTCATTTTTTTCTTAATCACAAGTTTTTCAAACTAAAGTGCTAAGAGAATTAAGTGGACCACTCGAATTTTCGACGTTTTTGAAAATGCGATAACTTTTTTGGAAATCAACCGACTTTCAATCGGAATGCAGTGTTCAGAAGTTACGTCTTTTCTGTTTAGGATTCATTGTTTTCCAGTTATAACATACCAAGTGGTCAAAAAGAGTGTTATATAAGCGATAAAGTTGAGGAGCTCCCGTATTCCCCAGGAATTTGTTTCGCTTATGTAACACTCTTTTTTACCACTTGGTATGTCGTAATTGGAAAACTTCGAGAACTTTCAAACAATGAATCCAGAGCAGAAAGAACGCATCTTCTGAACACTGCATTCCGATTGAAAATCGGTTCAATTGCAAAAATGTTATCGCATTTTAAAAAACGTCGAAAATTTGAGTTGTCCCCATAATTCTTTGAGTACTTTAGATAGAATACCTTTCAATCTACAATTCTCCTGCAGTTTGACGTGTTCTTCACGGAAGACCCTGTACAATAGCTTTTATATGAAATTATCATTTATACTGTAATTTTTAATATTTAATATGAATCAATGTGATGCTCACTCTTGTCTATAATGCGATTGGTCGAAATATTGACCAATTGGCAGATAATAGGTTAGTGATATATGTAAGTTAGTTCTCAAATCTATTGAATGTACCATTTCCTCGTTGTCCAAAAACATCTTGCGAATAAAATGCTCAACATCATAACCACTATCATCATCTTAAATCTTAAAATTAAGAACATATCAGCTTCTCAGCATTACTATGGCATCTCATTAAAGTGTAAGACGATATCACTTAGCATTCTTAAAAAGTAAGTTGGTATTATTAAATATAGGCATAATTCCTAATTCGAATAATTAATGAAAAGATTGAACGGACCATTGACAATAATCAAAAGACCCAGCACAATTTATCTTTGTCGAAACATTGCATAGTGTTAAAGGCTTCGCAAAATGCATTTGGACGTATGTAAATTTCCACAATATTTGTACTATACCGCAGTAGTTATTTTTGGATTTTTCTACGATAGATACAGTGTGAACCAGTTAAGTGTTCTACCAACCTTCTAGAATCAATGTGAACCCCGCTTTGGTTATTTTTTTAAGCAAGAGAACAATAATTTGGTCCATAGCTGTAACTACGACTGTTATTTTTCAATCTTTCTTGAGTTTTCTTGTTGATTCTTGTAGAAAATTGAATTAGTGGAGATACAGATCTAGTCATAAATTGTTCTATTCAATAAACCAAACACATATTTATTGTAATTTATACGAGATATATACCTACTTCCATTCACTTTCAATAAAGTGAAAAGTGATATACTATGGTGTTTATAATTTTATGTTGCGTCAGTCACCAATAAATATTATTTATTGAGAAATTATTTATTTCCATCCAACCACTCCAAGTAGTGAAGTCAAGTCCGTAGGTATTTTGTGTATCAGAAATTGTATTCATGATTGGATGAATGATGATGATATATTTGATTCATTTTATGTTGAAGCGCTGGCGCATAACCACAGTTTTGAAGTGAAAATTATTTTTTTAGGGTTATGGTTATGTCACTTGGTATTTTGAAATGATAATTGATATAATATAATATAAAATTACAAATAATACATGTCTATTTTTCTAAATCTCTACTTAAGATAAAATCAGTTTTGTGAAAGGGTTTGGTCTTCGGAGCATGTTGGTGCTTTAATTGAAGAATACCAAAAATATCCTTGTTTGTATGCAATGCAATGCAATCAAATACCTATTATATCAAAAAAGAAACGCTCTCGTAGACACTTTGACAAAGATTAAAGTGGATTGAGTACCTCATTTTTGGTAAAATACATTCTCGCATATTTTTATCTTCTTATCGTCTTATTTATTTTGTCCAGAGAAAAGGTGAACTGATCATTATTCATTATCGTGAAATTTGTTATTATATGATACAGGTTCTTGAAAAACGAGTTCATTTTGTACCATATTGCCCACGACACCCTTGTTCCTTCTTGGCAGTCATTCACGAGACCTGAGTATAGCAACCACTATTGCAGAACTGCAGATAGTTTGATATTTTTGAAGAGAAAGCATTACTTATACCATTTTTCCATTTTGAATATCTTCTCCCAAAAATATACACTCACTCGTCGGATTTTTGTGAAATTTAGATCAAATCGTAGATTCATGTTCCGGAATTTTAGCCTGAATATTAGTTTTCCTGAAAAGCTGATGACTTGATCATTATACAGGAAAAAAAAACAAAGTTACTCTTTCACCCTATACTTCTCAACACCCTGTGGCAAAATTGCGTGATTGAACATGCTTCGGATTGAAGTGTGATCCCATTTTCAAAAGAAGACACGAGTGTTTTAAGGAAGTATTGTGTTTTTCAACTTTTTTTTCCAATAATCAGAACTTACATGAACTTTATTGATTAACAACTTCAAGGATTATTATCACATATTTCAACCTTAATTTCATAGCACTCACCGAAAAATCAATTACAAAAAACACACAAGAAGCAGACCTGTAGTCAATAACGAGTATGCTCTCCTCGATATTGAATTACAGCATTCAACCGCAGTGACATCGAATTGATCAAATTACTCAAGTAGCCTTGAAAAATTGCCTAAAATCCTCCTTGAAGGGCGAATCGTAGCTCTTGAAGAGTATCTGACAAGGCTGGGCGAAGGCGAATGAGCCTCTAGAGGTCACCCCCAAGTTATTGTTATTGAAAATTTAAAAAATCTATACTTTCTTGAAACACTTGTATCTTCTCTCAAGAAGGAGATATTGACGTTATTGAAGAACCGTTGTATGAAGAAGGAAGAGGATCACACTTCAATTTAAAACATGATGAAGCAGAAGGTTGGAGAATGGTTCTGAATTATTGTAAATAAAAATTCTAAAAATCCATACTCTCTTGAAACACTTCCTTTAAAAAGTGGTTATCGACGTGAATAAAAAACCATCATGTAGAAAAGAGATCACTCTTCAATCTAAAGCATAATGAAGCTAAGTTAAACTACTCACCTTTCCCACAGGGCGTTAAGAAGTTAAGGGTGAAAAAGTAACTTTCGTTTTCCCTGTTCAATGATCGAGTCATCAGATTTTCTTAGGAACTAATATTCAGGCTAACATTTGGAAACATGAATCTATGATTTGGTCGGAATTTCACCAAAATCGGACCAGAATTGAAAAAGTTACAGAGCAAACAATTTGGCTAAATTATTTGGTGGCCGGTTTCTTTGCCGGTGAGTGTATTTTTAGGTTAGTAACACGCACAACCAACATCTCCATATTAATTTATTGCATAAATATCTTATTTGTGATCTTATCTCGTGTCACACAGCACTGAATTTTTCCACAAAAAATGATTCTGAATGTTTTATTGTGTGAGTGAAAAACTGGCCTACGTCAAACTAACTTAAGTACTTTAATTCTCACGCGAAAAAATCAGTTGGTCTCAACATGCAAACTATTACAGATAAATATGTTTTGAGATTATTATTCCAGTAGTCATATGGCCTGAAGCGCAGCTCACCAAGCGGCTGATCCAGGTTCAATCCCAGGAGGGGCAGTATTGAGCAGAAATATATCACGTTGCCCTCTATAGACACAAAAAGCTATCGTATACAATAGTTGAATATCAAATGTCCTACAGCATAACAACAACAGTCAAAAATTGTCAACTTGCACAATAATTCACAACAAAGCGATAAATGTCAATCCGTGAATTCTGTATCATCATCTTCGAACCCACTAGTAGTCTCTTCAGTTTCAGTCTGGCAAGCCAAACAAATGCGTCCCATATCTTTCCAGCATTCAGCGCAGTAAACGAAATGACAAAACTCGTTAGGACATTCCACGAAATCGCTCCTTTTCCTCGGCTCTGGTTCCTGGCAAATGAGACAGTCCCTCCTGGCGCAAGCGAAAATTTTCAGCCAATCGCAAACCTTAGGATAGTTCATCCTCAGTATGGCAAAACCACTGAAGTCCTCTTTCAGGCGATGCTCTTGGACCAAACGTTTCACCTTCTTCCTCATGAACCTGCAAAAACTCCTCAATGAACCAGAAGATTTGATTTATGGAATAGATACCTGAAGAACCCCTTCCTTCTCTTCAAGGTCTCATTGTACAAGAACAGTACCCTTTTCTTCTCTCTTTTCCTGTAGAAGTATGCGCAGATGAGTCTTCTCAGCCTCTGAGTGTATGCTTGAACAAACAGCATCACCAGAATGGCAAAGTACACCCCGTAAATCTTGAGCAGATAATAGTGCAATAATCGTCTTGGTCTTGGTAAACAAATCTCATTGCTTCTTTGGATTCTTATGCGTTTCTTGATATTGAATCCCTTAACCAGAGATCTCAATAAGGAAGCAATCATACCAGTTCCTAAACCAATATCAGTTCAACTAGGTAACGAGTTTGCAAACATTAAACAAAGCTGAGGTTTACCTTTGACATCCAGAAATAAGTCATGATGTCCAGTCTGGAGATAATCAATCTTGGCATGCCTCCTTATGATATCCAAAGCTTCATAGAACAGTCTATCCAGCAAAACCAGAATAGTAACAGTGAGAACCTCAAGCATCAGCAGAATGACCTCCGATTTCAGCTGTTCGCGCTCGCTTTTCAAAGGTTTCTTCGACCAAGGATCCACCAACTTCTTACCTTCGATTTTCTTCAGAGGAAGCAGAGTATACTTCTCATTGACTTTCCTACGAGCATCTATCTTCCTGAAGTACCTGGTGATGTAGATGTTATCAAACTCGATGTCCCTCAGATACTTGTCGTGATATTTTTGGGATTCAAGGAGGATTCTCAAGAACACGAAGGCTAGAACTCTCTTCAGTATGACCAGGATTTTCATTAGTAGAGCTTTCTTCGCGTTGACGCTATGTAGCACAGCTTTTGCTGTATCTCTAGCATCTCGGATGTCTTTCAGAGGTTTGAGCTTCCCCATTTTGTACTGCAGTCTCACATCTTTGAAGTTCTTGGATAGGAACGATCTGGATTGTTTCAAATAGCTGTAGCCTTCGCCAAACCCTGCACTGATGTCTTTCGAAGGATCGCACCTGCTAGCACCACCAAGAGATTCAGCAATATTGCAGATGAAGTCCAGCTTCATAGGCCAACACAGCAACCATGCGGCCATGAAGGTGACAGTATCGTAGCATTTATTGTAACCATTTTTGAACATGTCGCGACATCTTTCTGCAGCCTTGGTGAACTGGTTCTCGCAACGCAGTTCTACCTTCTTCAAGTAAAGTTTCTCGTATCTCTGAGCTTCTGATTTCTCGCCCACAGTCTCGTATTTGTCCCCAGTCAGCGAGGATCTCTTCGTGTCCCCCATCTGGGCATCCAAGTAGTCATTCTCTTCCTTGAGCTTCTTCATTTCTGACTCGTCTTCCATTTCTCCAGTTATAGGAGCCGATACGTCTTTTATTGACCTCAAGGTGTCCTTGACTTCGTTGACGTCGGTTTTCATGCCGAAGATTGCTTGAGCGAAGGGTTTGAACATCAACTCGAACCTCGTCTTGGTCAGGTTGAAAGTTAAGGAGGCCGTGCAAGCGAACACCCTTACGACTTCTCTGCCGTTGTTAGTTAGGTTCTCCACAGGTCCTGATATCACGAAAGCTATCACCAGAGCTTTCAGGACGCTTCTACCTACTTTGCCACCGAAACAGGGGAAGCTGAGACAGGTTATGCACCTGATTTGGGATGAGAACGCTATTCCGAAACCGAGCATCAGGCATATCACTGTGGCGACTAGCAAGCCAGCTTCTGGGGTGAAGTTCAGATCGACCAGGATGAATTTGTTGAAGGCGATTCCCAAGGTGATTCCGTAGAAGAATCCTGTGAAACGTTTCAGCTTCACATGCTCGTTTTTGGCAGTACAGAATAGGTAGTTCAGGTAGCGAAGTTTTTTGCAAAAATTTCGAATGTTCGCTGGTAAATTGACCTTTGCCATGTATATTTCTGAATAGGCACCAGTGTCACGAAGGAACTACGTAGGGAATAGTCATTTTGATTGACAGTTGTCACGAGACCCGATGGTTCTCCTCTGTCAGCCTAAGATAGTTGAAAAAATGTTCAAAATAGTTGGAATTATCATAAGATTTAGATTTATAGATTGAATCAATCCAAAACGTATTAGTGATCATGTACCTAGGTACAAAATACATTTATTTAAGCCACGAATAGTCTTCTGTATGTGGTTTATATATCAGTTTTTCCAATAAGATGATGTCAATTTTTATTTTTTTTAGTGTTAGCCGTTATCATCTGAGTAATAGCTATCGTGCGCGAGTAAAGTACTTTACTTTTTCTACTTGTTCTCTTTTGCTGAATTTTTGACAAGAACTCACATGGATTCCAAGAAGTACCTACCTACCAAGATATCGTTGAAAACTAAATCGCCCTGATGCATTTCAACATCCTGTGGATCCTCAACAACCCTGATTAGGAAGTATATCTTATTATGTCGTCGATAGTTATCGAAAATCCATTACCAAAACAATAATAGTCAATTTGTATTAACTTTTTGTGTATTTTCAACGATTTAGCGTTTTGGCTCGAATCAATACATATTTCATCAATATGAGAAAACCCTTTCTTGTTCTTATCAGGTAATAAAACCCACGATAACCTCAATAAAAGTTATATATTCAACAAGAAAAAAAATAAAAATACAGATAACAAGTAAAACTTTCAGTCTTTAAAATACAGGCCTAAGAAATTGATCAAGCCAAATATTGTCTGGATGACTCCATGGCACATAGAACCAAATAAATGGTGATGAAAATCAGACACCCCGCTACGGTACTAATCACGAACGAGGGATTCTGCCTGAAGATGACCAGCAGAAACACTGTCACAGCCAGAATAACGGTTGCTATTAGTGGTATCAGGATAATAGGGTCCCATTCGGTGCTTTCCTTTCCTAAAAGAATAATGTGAAAATAAAGTGGAATTCCACGCACTTGTGAAAAACTTCAAACACGAAAAAGAGCCAACAAAATCCTTCACAAGTGCAGTGAATTAACCGAACATTGATTTGTCAAACTCATACAGGGTGTTGAACTTTTTAGAAGCGATATATCGAAGTGATAGAAGGCCTATTTTAGGAAGAAAAGTTTCTTCGAACATTAATGGTCGTGAGACGCTTTGTTTTCGAAATTGTAGGATTATTTTCAATTTCAACGCCCTGTATCTCGAAAACGATGTTTCTTACGACCAATATTTATATATACAGTGTGTCCCACTTACCATGCTCACCATGGGTATCTTTTTAACGGTGAGAGATACGAGTTCGGTTAAATGACACCAAATGTGGAGTTTGTCAAGGCCAACTATAATGTGAAAAAATATTTTGATAAAATCTACTCGTTTTTGTTTTATATGCAATAAACAGATTTTGATCATTTTCATGTCTCCTCCATAACTTCTTTATTTATGAAAATATTCAAATAGGAATTTCACATTCTCATGGCAGTTTCTCAAGGTGATTTCGAAAAAAATATAAAATTTAAACCAACTCTTCTAGAATTTGAGATATCAGCACCTACTTTAGTTTTTTAAATGTAGGTCATAGCTCACTATGACTCAGTTAGAAATAACTTTTTTTTCTCTTACAGATGATATGTCGCAGTAATAGTTTTGTGTTGATAACAACGGAGTTATCGTCATTTATACAAAAACAAAAAATTATTTGAAAGCCGCCATCTTGAATTTATGAATTTTAACGAAAGAATCATAATCTCCGACCTCAAAAACCCCCACTCACCAATTTTGAATAGAATCGGACCAAATCTTGTCCGCCATCTTGGAGCAGCCATTTTTTTTAATTTCAACAAAAGTTCCATAACTCCGATCAACTTGAAATTCGGCAGGTGTTCATAATTCCGGTGACAATACATTATGGAATTTTTGTTGAAATTAAAAAAAATGGCTGCTCCAAGATGGCGGACAAGATTTGGTCCGATTCCATTCAAAATTGGTAAGTGGGGGTTTTTGAGGTCGGAGATCATGATTCTTTTGTTGAAATTCGTAAATTCAAGATGGCGGCTTCCAAACAATTTCTTGTATGAATGACGATAACTCCGTTGTTATCAACACAAAACTATTACTGCGACATATCATCTGTAAGAGAAATGAAAGTTATTTGTAACTAAGTCATAGTGAGCTATGACCTACATTTGAAAAACTAAAGTTGGTGCTGATATCTCAAATTCTAGAAGAGTTGGTATAAATTTCATATTTTTTTCGAATTCACCTTGAAAAACTGCCATGAGAATGTGAAATTCCCATTTGAATATTTTCATAAATAAAGAAGTTATGGAGGAGAAATGAAAATAATCAAAATCTGGTTTTTGCGTATAAAACACAAACGAATAGATTTTATCAAAATATTTTTTCACATTATAGTTGGCCTTGACAAACTCCACATTTGGTGTCATTTAACCGACCTCGTATATCTCACCGTTAAAAAGATACCCATGGTGAGCATGGTAAGTGGGACACACTGTATATATATATAGGAACTTCATAATTTCTTATTGGTACTATAAAACGGACCACCCTTGAGTATAATCACTACTCGCACAATAAATTAACCAAACATTGATTTGCCAAACTTATACAGGGTGTTGAAATATGGCGAAATATCGAATTGATAGAAGGCCTATTTTAGGAAGAAAAGTTTCTTCGAACATTGGTCGTAACACGCTTCGTTTTTTCGAAATACAGGGCGTTCAGGGTGTTTATAAAAATAATTATAGGTTTATTTTCAATTTCAACGCCCTGTATCTCGAATACGACGTTTCTTACGACCAATATCTATATAGGAACTTTCATTCTTCATAATTTCTGCTAGGTACTATAAAACGGACCACCCTGAGTATAATCACTACTCGTACAATAAATTAACCAAACATTGATTTGCCAAATGTATACAGGGTGTTGAACTTTTTAGTGGCGAAATATTGAATTGATAAAAGGCCTATTTTAGGTAGGAAATTTTCTTCGAACATTGGTCGTAAGACGCTTCGTTTTTTCGAAATATAGGGTTATATCGGGTTATATTATCGATGATGGCGCTTCCCCTTGAACCCAATAACAATTTTCTTCAACCATATCTGTTTGATCACTACTCGTACAAAAGATTAATCAAACATTGATTTGCCAAATTCATACAGGGTGTTGAACTTTTTAGTGGCGAAATATCGGATTGAGACCTATTTTAGGAAGGAAAGTTTCTTCGAACATTGGTCGTTCGAAATACAGGGCTTTCAGGGTGTTTATAAAAATAATTGCAGGTTTATTTTTGATTTCAACGCCCTGTATCTCGAAAACGACGTTTCTTACGAACAATACTTATAAAGGAACTTGTATTCTTCATAATTTCTGATAGGTACTCTAAAACGGACCACCTTGTATATAATCACTAGTTAGTTTATCCTTCATTTCGAAAAATATGCATAATAATATATCTACCTCGTATCAACATTTAAATATTCGGCGTAAAACATTAACCCGAAAGAAATTATGCAAATTTAATTATATTGGATACTAAGAAAAAAAAATTCAGCAGTGTATTCTTGAGGTCTTAGAATGTTTCAATTTTGTAGAACAAGATGTGGCAAGCTACACAGTTCAGGTTGTATACTATACTCCTGATTCTTCTAATTTAGATATCTCATCTTTATATCATTTTTGATATATTTCAACATTTCAGTATTAGAAATATAGTCATCGACGCATATTGAATTTCAAAAAGGGCTTTGAGCTGGGTGATTTTGCTAATATCTAGTTGAAATAAAGGCTAGTAGACCCCTTTTTAGTTATCGTTGAATGTAGATATAGATTATACATATATTGCACAAATGAGAATCAATTAGCGAGTAGATAGTTTGTTTTGCTTGATCGATTCATGTATTTGTAAAATCAAACCGTAAACATTCTTGACCTATACATGCATTTCGTTAGACTCAGTTTTTCCACTGATTAGAACTAGATTCAGATTATCATGCATCCCAAAAATAAGGAAGATATCTCACTTGGCAAAAAATCTCCACTAGCATCAGAAGAACTCCACATAAGATGGCTGAATTTCAACCTGTTGGCCATAGATCTACTGGAATTACTTGCGTTTACACTCATAACTACACTTTCTAGCCAAAAGTGAAGCGAGAAGCATTATAATTTTCTCAGACGATATCACCCAAAGTTCAGACGGCTTATTGATTGTGATTAGGCCGAAAACAACACCGATATTGTTCGATACAAAGATCGAAATTCCCCATAGGCGTACAAAAACACAACACTATTCTACAAATCAAAATCATTAGTGAAGAACAAAACGCTCGGTCATGTTTGAACGTCATCAACCAAAGTGTAAAATGATCGACCAAAGTTAGGTGCCTACAAAACAAAATAGTTATTTTTGCAATATGCATGAAGGGCGTAAAGTAGGCGTTTATGGCGTCAGCCGAGAGTCATTAAACGTCGAATAAACGCATTTTCGGACGTGATACATACAAAATTATATGCACTAGTGGTTCATTCTCCGGGTCAAAAGTATTGACTAGATTTCAATAAACTACATTTCATGTTACGTATACATTCAGTAAAATTATCGTACGAATATCGCAATTATCCATGAAAATAAAATTCTTTGTTCACTAAAAGAGATTCATTCTTTAAAATGTTACAATATGCATATACCCATTATATACGTACCTAATTTTGACGTTGTCAAGCAATCTGATGGGTGCTGTCTAGCAATACATCCAATAAACAAGCTAAATTGTCATCCTTTGGCTTAAAACTACATAAGTAACTCTAAAACCAAACTTCAGCCAAAACCTTGATAGGATAGGCTATCACTATTAATAACACGTTATTTCGGCAATTCTGAACCCCTTGGCCTAACGCGTAAACTGTAATAAGTTACAAATAAGAATACGACATTGAAAATATCGTTTCATTCATGAAATAACCTGGACAAATACAACTCGTTTCATTGA